CTCTTGGTTCAAGAGATCCTTCTGCCTCTGCCTCCTGAGAATCTGGGACTACAGGTGCCCACCACAATGCCTGGGTAGTTTTTCTACTTTTAGTAGAGTCGGGGTCTCATTCTTGTACGCCTGATCTGAAGCTATGCTCCCACCTCAGCCTCACAAAGAGGTGGGATTACAGGCATGAGCCACCTGCCTGGCAATAATTATATTTAATATCACAAAATTAGAATCACCTCATTTACCCTTCTCTAAGCATCTCCAACCAACACTTTCTCCATCTGTTCTTTCTGTACCTCCCTGGAGCAAGCAAACTTGCATCTTTTTAAAACATCCACAGAGCTACTGGGGTATTGCAGGGGGAGGAATGAGGACTCTGGTAACTTCACAATCCAAACCAGCCTGCTGGGCCAGCTCTTTGAGGAATGGCTGCTTGAATTTTGGTTAAGGACCAGAGTTATTCAGATAGGGCTAAGGGAACCTGCCATCATTTTTTTCATCTTAGGGTTTGAGGTTGGGGAGAGCAACACTCAAGAGAGTAAGTGAAGCTCTTTGCATTAGGAAAGGAGAAAGAAGAGGAAGAAGGCAGTGTTGCCGCATATCAGATGGTTCACAAAAACCCGTGAATGTTCTAAGATCACACAGCTAGGATGAGATGAAGCTGGGATTTAAACCAGGTCTGTCCTGCAAGAGACAGGAAGAAATCAAATTCCCAACACTTACACACCACTCAACGCAATACCTCTGACACCAAAGGTGTGAGAGTTGTTTCTCCACACACCAAGCAAGTCTCTAGTGGATACCATCTGGTTGTCTTCTAATTTAATTCACTTCTGATGCAATCTACCTAGAGATTATGTCAGATCCCACAAGTTAAAGGCTCAGTCCCACAAGGCTGCCTTCTACTTCAGATGCCAGTCAGACATCCCGTGTTGAGACCTGTGCTTCTGACCAACCAGCTATAAATCAGGGTTCCCATGCCCCCCTCCTCAGCTTCTATTGATTTGCCAGAGTGGCTCTGGTTTATTATAAAGGATTTTACAAAGGATACAGATGAACAGTCAGACGGAAGAGATGCATTGAGGAAAGCATGTGGAGAGGGCCTGGAGCATCCATGCTTTTTCCAAGCAAGCTACCCCCCCACCCCCGGACCTCCATGTGTTTGTTCAGTTCTCTAACCCAGTCCTTTTGGGTCTTTATGGAGGTTTGTTATGTAGGCGTAATTGATTACATCATGGCCACTAGTGATCAACTATGCCTTTAGCTCCTCTCTACTCCCTGGAGGTTGGAGTTGGAGGTGGGGGTGGGGTGGGTGGGTGGGAAGAAAATC